TTCATTAATAGTGTTACCAACTATGTAAAAGTTGGTTTATAGCAAACGTACGAATTTCTATTCCTATGGTACACCTAATAAAGATTATGTATGTTGATTCTTGCTCCCTTTTGGGGATATAGCAAACGTGTAACTCAACGCAGTTGCAGGTAGTAGGTGCTCTATTTCGGTCCGAAATCTTATTTGGATAAATGTTCTCTATTAGAGGCATGAATTAGTATTTGTGTGATACATAAATTTGCTCTACTCCGCTAGTAATGGTAATGTATGGTAGTGTAATGGGAAGTCCTTGGGGAGTATATCTATTTGGATATTCAATGTACAGTATCGGACACCCATTGGTTTGCAACAGTATAGTTCATTTCTGGGTTTTTGACGGGTCATACTAAAATTGCCGCAATAACTTTTACACATCCATCTCTATCACACATGTATTTGCAATCTGCCTTTATGCGCGAACGTTTTCTTGTGCAAGCTCTGACATACGTTGGTTTGCTTCGTCTTGAAAAAAAAAAGTTTTTTCGCCAACGTATGAGTATTACTAATATTGTATATGCTTGTCACTGTCAATGTGACAACCCACTTGACATGGGCGTACCATTTCGAGTTTACCTTTAGTGATAGTAATAATAATAAAATAGCGTTGCCTAACAGAAAGTCCATTTACAGAGCAAAGAATAAAAAAAGTATCATAACACATAAAGTAATGCTGAATAGTTTATAACTAACTTACAGAAAAAAGGCGAAATAAAAAAGAATCAGTGTTATTCCAAGTATTGCTGAAGTACACATTTCAAGTTATTCAAAGTACAATCGAAGATGTCACATACCTGACAAATAGTATTAACTTTAGCACACATAGAGCTCGACAAGTGTAGGAAGAGATATGAGGATTTGCTGGGATTGCGCACACGAGAGAGGGAGAATGCAGCAAAAGAGGTGGCACGTACAATACGTGCCATTCGATCTCGTGTGGTACAGGCTGCGTCCTAAATTAATCAAATAATTTCAATAATGGAATGCGTATTATGTGAGGCCTGCTTCTTTTAATCGAAATTGTTTGCATGTCTCAAACTTTTTAATATCCTTTTGTGAGCCCAATATTTTAAATTTGGTAACTATCATTAACGTTGCAAGACTAAGTTCTATCACTGTCATCATCAATTCCACGAGCACCCGATCTTAAGCTATCTATTAGTTTATGTGCATTATAAAATTGAGTTTGAGAGTATATAATATACAATGAAAGATTCTATATCATTAGGATATCTTAAAATACAATTGTACGTCCACCAGAAGCATTCAAAAATCTATATCTAAAAAACAAGTTTTATATACTACTTTTTCAATATTTTAATATTGCATATTACATTAGTTTTACAGAAACAGTTTTATGTTTCCACACCTGTTCGCTACCGAAGAATGGTTAAAAATTGGATTTATGTGATTATTTATATAAATGAGATAAACATAGAGATAAGGAAACCAAAACAATGTATTCCATAAAATAAGTATTGCACACTATGTAGCTATAAGGCTGAAACTGATTGGAACTCATTATATCTTTAATTGTTAATAATTTTAATTAACAAACAATCAAATGAGAAGTAAGGTCAGAAAACTAACATCATAGTATGTTAGATACAGTTAGCAATATTTTAAAGATTTATGAAGTTTCATAAAGGATCAAATCCTGAAAGTTCGGAATCGGAATCTGAGCTACTACTTAAACTTAAATCTTCGGTTTCGCTATCGCTACCTTCGTCTAGGTTTATTATTATTTGATCCACAAATAAGTCGACAGCTGGCTCCATTTCCATATACTGCTTCTCAAAACCCTTGGCATGTTCACATCGCTTTTTCCATTCTTCTGAGAGATAAGACGAGAAAAAGTCGTCGCAAAGTTTGTCGACAGTCTTGAGATTAAAATCTACATTTCTCTCAGCTACATATTGTTTCAAAGATGCCCATACCAACTCAATTGGGCTCAAGTCGGAGTGATATGGTGACAATCTCAAAACAGAATGACCTTTTTCAGCCATTGTTCTGTCTATTTCATATGTTATATAATATGCCGGCTTATGCATTTTGGTAAGGCTATACAAATCAATTTTCAACATGTCGTCAGTGAAATGTATGTTTTTTGCCTTAGCCATTCTTTCATATGATCCTTCTTAGAACACATAGTAGGGCATTTGTCTATCTGAACATTTTGCTACGGAGCGTTGTCTATAACCTAAACACTAATTGTTGGTAGGTTGGGAATCAGTTTATCTTAAAGCCATTATTCATAGTTACTATAGTTCATCTCACTATGATAATTACCCGACTTACTTTTGAATTTAAATTTCATATATGCATTTACCACGAAACCATTTTCACTATCAGCATGCACAATAATAAATCCATGTCCTTTTGAAACTGGTCTGTGAAGGCCCCCATTGGTATTATCGCTCCAACTCTTTTCATGCGTATGGGATGTATGGATGTATGTTTCGTCCATACTCAGAAAATTTCTCCTGAGATGCTGAATCTATAGTATCTCCATACGAAGTCTTCAATTAGTTCTTGTCTTCTTTCAACGAAATCCCATTGCCCTCATCACTTTCCTCAAAGTATCATGTGATCCAGTTTAATTGTGTTCTTGAACAAATTTTCTTTGTATGCGCAGCAAAATTTGTCTTTGTCTTTTTTTGTTTGGTGTCGAAAAAGATGTCGAAACACCTTCTTCAACAGAGGTTTATTTCCATCTGCTTCTTATTGCATAAAGAATATAACATTTGCTACAACCTCCAGATAAAACTTTACCTTGTAATTTGGATTTAAAATCCATTATAAACGAGTAAATCTCTTAGCACACAAGGAATAAATGGCTACAATTAATAACGTAAAATTGTATGTATTCAACCCACGAATCCGTAACAATACATACAATTCTCAGATAATAAGTAATAAAGTTGTTTCACTGCCTGACAATTTTTCTCCTGACTGTACGCTGACTAGTCTAGGCACGACAAGAGACTACTTTTCCTACACTTGTTGAGCTGTACCTCTAGCAAATGAGTTCAAATGTAAGTTTGTTAGTGCGCGCTCACAAAAGAATACTACATTAATACGTGAGTTGAGCCTAGGAACATACATTAATTTGAGATAGCAATGTAGATGAGTCAAAGCCGCCATTAAGGATTTTGTAAACAAACATTACAGATGCATGCTTACGTCGAGACACTAATGAATGAGTTTCAAATTTACTTAAAAACATGTGATAATCACAACCACGCTCAGGGTAAACAGAGTCAGACTTAAAAGCCAAATATTTAACAAATCTCTGTGAACATACAATTAATGTAACATTGGTGATAGGGACTTCACACGACAGATGCATATTCCAGCTTGGAACGAACGAGATATTTAATATCAACTTACAATTCCTGATAATGAAACCTAGCATTTTGTTCGCGTTCATTATAATGTTGAAGATAGCTCAGTCGGTAGTCAAAGGTTGCACCCAAGTCACAAAAAATTTCACATCTGTCAATAATAATGTTGTTCAAGGAGTAGTGGTATAAAATCTGGTTCTGTTTCCGGGCATACCTTAAGAACCACCCTATTGCTTTCACACCATTCATCAATAGCAGCTAGTTGATTGTGTAGCCGTCTACAGTCTTCCAATTGTCCATTTCTGCAAAAAATTTCAGGTCGACCGCAAATACTATCCTTTCTTAAGATGTCACATAAGTCATTGATGAACAGTATGAACAATAGAGAACCTAAATCAGATCCTTGAGGTACACGTGAAGTAGGAATAAAGCAATTTGATTGATGTCGATTATAAGTAACACTGAGTTTTCTATCAGTGAAGTAGGAATGCAGAAAAGAAAGTGATCTCTCTTGAAACCCAAAGCATTCAAATTGTATAAAAGCACTGAATGTTCTATCTTGTAAAATGCCTTTGCGAAATCTGTGTAAACGACATCCAATTGTCGTTTGTCCAAGCTGTCGAAGCTAATTGAGTGAATATGGTTAAGTTTGTCACAATCGATCTCTTATTTTTAAATTATTTGAAATACAAAATTGATCTTAAATCAGTACCTGAAAATACTACCCGCGGAAAATATCGATAGTTTTTGCAAAAGTTATAGGAGTATTTTGAGAAAGCGAATAACAGAAAACGCTCCTTTATTATTCAATTCATCTGTGCAGCTGCATTTAAGATCGGTTTTCCCAGTGTACAGTTTTGCTATGGGGCTTTCTCACATGGTTCAGTCGATTATGCTTACTTATTTCGTATGACATTTTGCACATAATCGCCAAACACCGTAAAAATAATTATAGTAGATTCTTGGTTTCTCCTCATAGCCACAATTATAGTTCTATAGTATGCTTCTGCTTGTAGCCTTTGCTTGGGTTATCAAAAGTATGATAAACTAATCGTACAAATCATTAGTCGATATAGAGAGTGGACAACATTTTTCATCTTTTTTTTTTGACAAAAGTAGGACATTGAACGAACTAAGAAAATCTAGTAATATAGCTTTCGATTACCCGACCACAGGCGTCCAACCATGGACAGGATTATGCGTAAAAAACCTATAGAATTTAAAGAAAAAAACAGAAAATGGGCTGTCAAAAGTATAATAACCTAATCATACAAATCACTAGTCAATATATGGAGTGGGCATCAATTTTCGTCATTTGTTTTTACAAAAATAGGGCATTGTAACTAAGAAAATCGAGTAATATAGCTTTCGATCACCCGACCACAGACGTACAGCCATGGACAGGCTTTTACGTAAAAAAACCTATATAATTTCTAAAAAAGAAAACAGAAAAAGTCAACTTTGTTGACTAAGTGTGTAAATAGTTGATTCCGCTCTTGCTACAAGTGAGCATGAATTGAGCGACAGCAGCAGTTCCAAGTTGAAGTCTTGTAGGAAAACCTACATGATGTCATAAAAACCTACATAATGTCAAAAAAAAAAACGACATAATGTCACTTTTCAAGTTACGTAATACCCCGGTCTCAGGTACGAGGGATGTCTTTTAAGTTTTACATATGGAAATAAAACAACACGGTAGGTAGTTTTAAATGACTTTATTTTTTTTTCGAAGTATTCTCCATGAAGATTAATACACATCTGCATGCGCTCGAACCAATTTTTGAAGCACTTATTCCACTCGTTTGCTGGCACATCCAAAACGGCATTTTTGAATGTTTCAACTGCTTCTTCTGGTGACTGGAACCTTTGACCAAGCAGTCTGTTTTTAATTTTCATGAAAGTAAAGAAATCGTTAGGACTTAGATGGGGACTATATGCAGGATGGTCCAATAATTTCACGTTTTCTTCCGTTAAATACTGCCTTGTTCTTTGGGCTGTGTGCGAGCTTGCATTGTCTTGGTGGAGGATGATTCTTCTTTCGGGGTTGATTTTTCGAAGCTCGGTGATGACTTTTGGCAAACAAATGGTGGTATACCAAACCGCAGTAACAGTTATTTGCTCACTAAGAGGAATTGTTGCAATATGACCCGCTTTTGACACAAATGTCGCGACCATCTTTTTCGAAACACTTCGAGAACGGATGACTTTTGTTGGATTTTCTTCACCTTGCAACACCCAAACAGCCGACTGTCATTTATTTTCTGGTTCATAACAGTAAATCCATGATTCATCACCACTAACAATGCTGTACACATTTTTTTGAGTTTCCGGAATTGAAACGGTCAAGCGTTTTTTGACACCAATTAAACCTGGCTGCTTTCTGCTCTTCAGTCAACAGATGGGGTATCCAACGAGAAACTAATTTTCTTACTCCTAATTCTTCATGTAAAATTTTTTGAATTGAGGTCTTTGAGATCTTCAAGGACGCCTCAATCTCGCGATATGTCACATGTCTATCTTCAATGATGAGTTTGCGCACAGCATCGACGTTTTCCTGGGTTACTGCCCTTATTGGTGCACCCACCCTGGGATCGTCGCTAAGACTCACCCGTCCACGTTTGAATTCTCCATACCAACGGGAAATTGTCGACTGATGTGGCGCCTCGTTGCCGAAAACAGACAGTAACTCAGCAAGGCATTCTTGTTGCGATAATTGTCTCTGAAAGCTGTAATAATTTATGGCGCGAAAATGTTCTCCGTTGAGTTCCATTTTTCTAATGACTTGGTGACACTTAAAAATTCACGTAGTCGGAACACTGCACGTATTGTTGTGAAACTTTGAGTTTAAGTTTACTAAAGAGTGAGGTTAAGATTCAGTACTGACGTTCGATCCGCGCGGCCTACTATGTTTCTATATGCAAAACTTAAAAGACGTCCCTCGTACCTCAATTGACGAAAGCCCTGACGAAAGCTGAGCAACTATCCTATAACGAAAGCATAAGGTGCCATCTATTACCAGATTCGACCACATTGAGAGTGAAAATAGCAAGATGTATGTTGTAAATGTATCACAATTCGCATTGTCAGCCTGGTCTAGTAGATGGTACTTTGTACTGTCTTTTCTCGACAGTCTTTATACTCTGGATAGAGGACAATTACAAAGCTTTCCATGGTTAGCCGTCTGCTATATTATTAATTTGTTCAATTACGCGTGGACCGTATCAAATATAGCACCAGAATCGGCGGCATCTAGCGGCCACAGTGGTGACCCGGCTGACAATGCGAACTGGGATAGTTAGATATATATTGTTTGTTCAATCGATCATTGAAAAATGACATTAATACGTAAAAAAACGTATGCATGTAAGACATATTAGTGATAGAAAAGATTAAAAATCCCATCACTGAAACATAAAAGTTCTTAGAATTCAATAAAAACAACCACACAGACCACATGCTTATAAAAAGAAAACACACATTGTAAAAAGACATAAATGTTTAAAAATAATAACATACAAAGAGTTAAAATGCCAGCAGGTAAAATGTGAAGAAGAATATAATATAAAGAACAAAGTGGATAATACAATTAAAATTGACAAGCTGGATAAAATGAAATAAAAAAGAAGAAACCTCCCTGAGCATTTAAGAGGATATATTGCCATCCTTAAGGTATTTATTGAGGGAACAGTATGCTTTTCGGAGCAGTAGACTTTTGATTTTTGTTCTTGTATATACCTAATGGTCAACTTATTCTTAGACTCTGTGGTAGTCTATTGGCCCTTATTCCCATGTGCTTGGGACTTTTCTCCGTAAAGGACAACTTGAGATTCGGTATTATTAAAGCTGACGAACATCTGGTATTATAAACTTATTGGTCGTTTGACACATCAAAGTCGTCACTCTTAGATCTAGCATACGCTAGTAAATCATATACAGGGTGACTTTGGAGTTGAGTCATTAATTTTCAGATAATCATTGTAGAAGGAAGATAAACCAAAATATGTGTGTAAAAATAAAAAAAAAATTAAAAAATAATTTTATCTTGTTTTATAAAGTATCCTCCCAACAAGTATTTCAGTGCGGACCTGTATTTGATCGTGAGGTCTTGGAGCACCGGCATGCTCTCTCCTGTGAGGTCCTAAGTCACCTGATTCACGAGCCCGTTGTACTACATTAACAAAGGCCCGAGGGGTTGGTTGCACTCGATTGGGAAACCGATCCGCATAAATATGTGCCATTTTTTATTTCGTTTGAGCCACGCAGCAAACACCACTATTCACTCACGCGTTACCGACTGACACATCGACTGAATAAAAACATCGTGATCAGCGTTTCAAGTTCTTTCGCTTTTTTGTTTCCGATTGGATGAACCGATAAGGCGGATTATATCCGTTGTTGCCAAACACGAGCACATAATATTATTATTGAGACAGGGCGGTACTCAAACTTCTAAAGGGCTATAACTTTGTTACTTTAATTTTACCACAAAAATGTTAAAGGAAAAAACATTTCTTTTGATCAGATCTACTCACTGTTAAAATAAATGACTCAACTTCGAAGTCACCCTGTGTATCTAAATACTCGTACAGGGAAGCGTCATGGTTTTAAATCTGATGAAAATATGTTTGCCGCTTACTCCATGTATCACCCCAGCTATCAACCTCAACACTCGGTTCTCTATTACAAACACTCCCCCCACAAGCACCTCAAACCATTATACCATAGGAAATAATCGAATAGAAATAAGCAAAGTGTAAAGTTGTGACAGTTGCTTTGTCAGTCACAAATCCGAGGCTACTGATGCAGTAAGACACCGGAGCAAGTTTTTTACAACATTTTCTGTTTGCACGTGCCACATACAGTTGTCGGACAAATAGACTCCTAACAACTTTGCACTCATTACTTGCTCAATGGACTAATGACCTGACAAGAAGACTATGGTCAAAAGTCTTATTAGGGTGTGTAAACCTGAGACAACTAGACTTTTTCATATTGAGCATTAATCCATTGTTAGAGCTTACGTAGTGGTGTGAACCAGAGCTGGAATATTTTCAGCACTTATTAATATTGAAGGGTCATCTGCATACATGAAATATTGGCTGCTTTCAAAGTCATTAACAAAAATGAGGTACAGCAATGGTCCAAGTATGAAGCCCTGCGGATCATCCCTTTTGCAATTTTTCTCAGATCTACAAGCACTGACTTCAGCATACTGCGTTCTGTTTTTCAGGTAGATCATAAACCGTGTAATCTCCTGACGCCATAGTTCTCTCATTTAGCCTGTAAGTTTTAAGGTCAACCAGGTCAAACGCTTTGGATAGATGTATCAAAATACCTAAAGTCTCAACAGATAGGTAATAGATGACTCTAAAACATGTCATTCACATATTACTAACTGGATAAGTCATTCTTATAATTGTCTGACCTTGAATCCGCTGGCGCTGGGACATACGAGCTTCATAATCGAGTATACCGATTTTCAGTCTTCTACTGCATGTCTGGGACCACGAAGATAAAACTAATATACGGAGAGATATTGGGAGCTTCTGCATTATTAATTTTTACCCCGTGGTTAAAGTCATACGTTGCCCGAAGCGACCGAACTAGATTCCACAGAGCTGGATTCACTGTACTTTGAAACCAAAGAAAAAAGTAATAAGAGAGGATATTCAATTCAATTCTTTATTCACTGCCAAATAGACAGTGCTTCTTTTACAGAAGACAAAAAAGACAATGATGGCATTTATCAGCGATAAATTAAAAAAAGCAACAATAAACATGAAAAAATATATTAAAATCACAAAAATATGTAAAGGCACAAAAACGAAATAGAAAGATCTACTGGAATCCTGAAGCGTCACTGTTGAAGAATTCATCAAAGTTGTAGTATGCTTTGTTGGTCAAGAAGCATTTTATATTCATTTTGAAATGCTCGTCGCTAAGGAACTCCACCTTAACTGGAATTGCATTCTATAATGCAATTCCGTGACAATTGGTACCGTTTCTAGTAATTTGTACTGTTACTGTAATCATAATATTTTGTTCCCCACAATATGTTAATACTTTATACATTTTGTCACATTTAGTGCGACGAGGTTTTTGGAACACCATGAATTGATAATTTCCAAATTATTTTGAGGAAAATGGCAGTTACGATGCCATTATAATTTTTAAATCATCAGCGACAAATAAATGATGACATTCAATCTCAAACGACAAATAACTAATAAAGATTAAAAATAATTAAGGTCCCAAGTTAGACCCCTGAGGAATTATTGAAGTAGCTATGTAGTTACTAGGCTTGAAGCCACCATATTCCACAAACAGTGTTACGTGTACGTTGATCAATGCCAGTATGTAGAATGTAGTCTTGGAGGCCGGTTCTGTGGGTCATAGAAGGAAAGAGGGCATAAGGAGAGAGCAAAGAGAGGCGACGGGAGGCAAACGCATAAATCCGCGGCAAAGATAAGCTTATGAATTATTCCATAGCCGTAAAACGACGCCTTACCGCACTCCGCGCCGGGCCGTGACGCCCAGCGGCAACGCGGCAAAATCCACCAAGCGTATTGACAGCAGACAGATATCATGCTAATTGATTATCGACTAGGCATCAGATACCTGAAGCTCAACGCTGGTTCGTTTCGCAGGTGGTTTTCAGAATGTTTCCGTTGAAGCTCCATTGGAGGGTATGAAACGTACTTCGACTCAAGCGGCAGAGAACGCAGATCCAAAAGTTAGACGATCACTCTGAACCATCATGACTCAAAACTTCCCTCTCTGTTTCTTATGGGGATTGTAGACTGCGTAGTTTCGGTGGTCTAGGATAGATGGTGCTATTGCTCTCCCTGGTGTCAAAAAATGGCGCTCACGACCAGTGTTACCAGGTCTACCGATTTTTCGGTGAATCTACCGATTTTGATTCTGGTCTACCGAACTGCCGATTTTAAAGCAAAATCTACCAAAAAGTGGACTTTTCTTTCAATTGAATATATTTTGTTCCCTATATAAGAGAAATATTTGTGATGCATAGCAATAAAAAGAATGACAAAAGGACTATTATTATTAGTACTAGACCAGATATATTTTTATTCTCGTTGCCTGACATTGGTGTGCCACATACGCTGATTCTTCGCATCTGGGGAATCACCGAAGATACTCGATGATTTGTCTACATCGCCTAGGCTTAGCGGCTCGTGACAAGTCCATGCCTGTATTGAACGATTTGTATGATTTCGTGTACTTAGTAATTCCGAATTCGGCCAGTATTAGTATTGCCTGTCTTGCAGTTATTTTTTTCCCGCGTGCGTGTGCCCAACATTATAAGGAAGACTGTGAAAAATTACCAGATTTCCAAGGCCGGCTTAAAAAAGCAATAAAGGGCGCGATTATGCGAAATCCATGGTCTGTGATAAAGATATTAATATCAAAAGTGGAAGAGATCCACTTATAAAACACGCAAATGGGCAATTTCATAAAAAAAAGTGCAAACCATAATAAAACAACCAAAACTGTTGTCATTTGCAGTGGCAGGTGCATCAAAGAAATTAGAAAATGATATTAAAGAAGGTAAAATTAATTGATCTATTTGAGAAGATTTGAGTTTATATAGATTATTTTATTATTTCCAGGAGAGATTCGCTTGAGCGCATTTTTGGCCGAGCATAGTTTGCCATTCTTGCTGATCGACCATTTGGCAAAGCAAAATTAGTAGATAATTTGACTGATAAAAACTCATACAAAAATGAATCGGAGGAATGATTATACAATATA